GCGTCAAATCATGCAGAAGTGTCTTAAAACTTGCATTATCTCTACTGACCAACAGGGGGCGACTCATCCAGTTGCAAAAAGAAGTCTGATTGTACAGAACAACATGAGTTTATGGTCTCAATCTCTAGTTTCAAGTCTTCTTCAATACAGCATGATGTTCATTTCGTAAATGATGGTCCATTTAGAGTCAAACAGACCATAAAGCAGAGTATGCTTTTGGGCGGGCTTAATGATGTGCTTGACAGGTTATTACCGCTACCAGAGCCGTATACAGTGTCTCTACGTCACTCCTCATCCCAAATATGGTCACTTCCGTTCACTGGTTAGGAAAAAGCAACTTCGCTACGGCCGGCGGAATTGCCGAACTTGAGGCTTCATAACAGCAGTCCACAAAGCAATGGGTGATGTCACGATGACTACGTCCACTTCTTATATACATATACTTATTACATATGCATCTTCCCTTATGCTTGGAAATGCATTTAAAAAGAAAAGCCGGCATTAATGCTTGAAGAAACGTGGGCATTTACCACGCAAGTAAGGTCTAACAAAAGCCACTGTTCAGTTGCAGTATGGAAAGTGTAGGATCTAGTGTCCTCGCAGCTTAACCCATACTAGGAACTGAAGCCAAGATTCCTCAGCCTCTGCTGTTTAGGTTTAATCGTTTTCCAGCCACGCTGCCAGCGTGCTTTAGGGATGGCAATGAGTCAGTGAGACCACCCACCACTGAAATATCTCAATAACTATTGGATGGATGTCCTTGAAAGTTTGGTCCTCAAGAGATGCTGATGTATTTCGTGATCCCTTGAGTTTTTATCACACAGCCCCAGCAGACCAACGTTTATAAATCATGTTCCTTATATATTGGCACACACTTTCATACGGATATCCAGGGTTCCCCGATTTCCTCTAGCACTGCCAGGTTCACAGAGGTTCCTATCATGTCTCAGCCATCGGATGGATTGCCATGACACAGACACAACTTATGATAGCTAAAATAACAACTACTCAATACAAATATAAAGCCATGGATAAAAAGGTTTTCAAATTGTGTAACGACTTTAATCACTATACTTCCTTCAGTGAAAAATGGTATATTAGTTTATATTGGCACATTTTTGCTTCAAGGATTCAACAGTAAATGTATTTCATGCTCACAAAACTGCCAAATAAAATTCCACACACATCCCCCGACCTACCTTGTAATTTCCCTCTGTGTGTTATCTACAGCACTCGCAGCGTAACGACAAGTGTGTGTGTGTGTGTGTGTGTGTTTCCCAGCCTTGACGCTCTCTAAACCGCACTGGCTTGATGTAAGTGGCCGCAGATACTGAGAGGAAACACACGGACCGCGTAATGAAAATGTGTGTGAATTCGATAAACCCTTTTCTCATGGGCACCAGAATCACCCTTGCGGAAAATGTGATTACACTTCTCCACGGGAGGTGCAATGTGGGACGTTGTTGCAGAGGGAGGAGGGGTTACTTTGCTCATCATTGAGTGCCCAGTTTGTCAGTCACCCTCATACCCACCAACAACTGTTGACACGTGTGTGTGATGTCTACCGAGGAATGGCACTCGTGTCCATTCCCATGTCTTTCATTTGAAGCCGAGCCCAGTGGCTAATGACTCAGTGTCGCGTGACGGGGATGACACCATTTGTTGTTGCCTCATTGGTGTAAACTGACTGGTAAATTGAAGGGAACGGAATTACAGAGTGAATCAAACACCAACATACTGTGGTCACAAAGTGGAGGTTTTGAGCCAGACTGCAAAACAACGACTGCCGGTGGCTGTTGTTCACAGCCTTGTGAGTGATACATATTTTACTGATGAAGGAACAACATGTATAACTCACTTACAATGCTCAAGAAGAATCAGACTACTATGATAACTTACCTTCCTGACTTTTGGCTTATTTCTGGTGGCTGAAGTCTGTTTTTCTGCGAGCCTTGCTACTGTAAGACAGAGGTACAATAAATTAGTCAGGCTTTTCTTTAACAGCGTCGCTCCCACATACTGGCATTCTACTGACTAAAAGCATCTGAAGACATGATTTGACCCTTTTTGCTCATTTCTATTCGTGCTGAATATGCTGAAGTAGTATGTCATTGAAGGGCCTTATCTAAGCCTCTTCACAAATGATGATTTAATCATTTTGTGCCGACAACTGCAAGAATTCTGCCAATCTGAAAGTTGGCCTAATTCCTTTTGCGAGTCTGTTCATAAAAGAAAGTGAGATTTTAATTTAAACTGGACCTTTTTTGGGGTTATTTATTTGAACTTAATGTCTCTAAAGTCTGAATACCAAAGCTTTTAAAATCCAATAAAACAATTTGAAGGGTTTTCAGGACTACTCTTCATTTTTTCTTATTGCCAACAAATCTCAAAAATATCCAAACCACAAATGTGTAAAGGTTAGTACTTTCCCCTCATCTCAAGGCCCATTATTTTCTGCCATTGAAATACATTTTTTTAAATGTGTGAACAATGTTCCCATGTCAATGTCAATGAAGCGACCTATATGTTACAAACCCGTGTTTCCAGTTTTTTTTAAATTCTTTTTAAAATGATTTCTAACCGATAGACCATGTATGTTCAACACATGCAGAGTGTTTGGTTTTGAAACTTGCTGTGGTGGATTCCACCAGCATGGTGCACACATTTTGTTTTTTAAAGGCAATCTGTTCTGCCAAATCCTGACTCATCCGAAGGCCTTTGCGCACCAGGGGCGTATTTTTCGCATCAAAACCATGCATGCCACTAGTGATGCAAATTTGAGTAAATTCCAAAATGTTTTTTAGTAAAAGGTTGTAATAGATCTGGGCAGGCAGAGGGCCAACGACCAGGATCCTATTGACTGGCAGTCTGGCAAATTGTTATTTAGCGTAAGCTACTGTAAGCTATTCTATTGAGTTTCCTCAATAAAATAAAATAATAAAATTCTCACTCTCACTCTCATTTACAGAGCACTACACGGTCAGGCTCCTACATATGTAGCTGATCTACTTCACCCCTATTCACCCTCTCAGGTCAAACATTTTAGGTCTTCTGTCTGTCCCACGCACTCGCCTTATGACCCGTGGGAACCAAGCTTTTGAGGCAGTAGCACCGAGGCTGTGGAATGCTCTGCCTGCACCCTGACGCCTCGCAGATTCTGTGAACGCATTCAGAAATCAGCTCAAAACGCACCTCTTTAGACTGCCGTTTGGGTAAAACCCATGTCCTAGACCTGCTTTTAAACCATGTTGTAATTTTGTATTTTCTGTGTGTATGTAAATGATTATATGGTCACATTGTGTTTTTTATGTTTGTAATTTTGCCCTGTTAAGCACTTTGTGACTTATGTCTGTAAAAAGCGCTTTATAAATACATTTTACTTACTTACTTACTTACCTTTACATAAATGCTCTGAGTTAATTTGTCTCTGGTAAACAGTTACTTATATATATGTATATTCAAGGATAATTTTTTGTCATCATGCAACACAGGGATGCACAACCAAATGCAGTTGTAGCCGATTTTCAACACAAGAAAAACATGACGAACAAAACAAACAGTAGTGCATTCCTGTAGTGACATTTTTTGAATTTGCATCATAAGTAACGTAAGCAGCAGCAACTAAAACAGTTCACTGGGCAGATAGAATCATAACATCAAAAATTCAACATCACAAAAACATTTTCCGTCAACTTTTGATAAGATTGAACACCAAGCATCGTAATGTAATCACAGAGTCCATCTCCTCTAGAATCCTAAGAAGGAAAATTGCAACTATTAATTTAATTCACTGACATATTGAGCTAGAAACAGCCAAGCCAACAGCTTGTTTCCTGAACAAGCTTTCAAATGCCTTCATTTAATAGAAGGCCACAATGCTACCAAATATAATGTCTCCTCATTGATATGACGTCTCATGTTCATCGGAACATTGACAATGTTAGCCAGTGACCTATTCTCATTAAGCGCTATATCAATAATCGGGGGTAGAAGGCTAAAAAAATTTACATCTCACCCAATGTCTGTATATCCCATTCTGGTGTACACCTCTAAAGGTGCTGCATCGATTTCCCTCCGAGCATTTGGGACCTTAAGTTGTTCCAAGGATGTCCCCCTCGACGTGTCATCTCATCCTGTACAGACTGGTCCTGAGCTGCTAAGGAAACACTTTGTATTATATCGAGTTAAAACATATGATCAAGATTCATAAATGCACCAATTACAGATCAGATTGATGCAGCCTGTCACAAACAAACAAGGACTAACAGACTTCAAATGCATCATGAACTCTATTGATAGGCTTGCTGTGTTTGTTATAATGAAACAGCGTTCTCTTGAGATCTGTTTCAAGTCTAAATTCTCTGTCATTTTGCCTGAATGTGCACAGCGGTAGGTAATTGCTCGAAGCAGTGTCTGTTAATGGGGTGTGGGAATTAAGACAGCTAATGACAGTGGGTCAATAATCAGATTTGTTTTTCTTGTTGTTTTTTTAAGGCTGCTACAACTTCAAACTCTTATGATTTAAAGAAATCTCAGATGGTCAGCATTGACCCCACCCCCGCTGTGCTCTTGTTTCAGTAACTTTTCCACGTGCTATTCTAATCTATTCTAATGTTATTTCCATAGGCTTTTTGTTTCAGAAGCAAATGATTCATTATTAAATCATAATACTGCTCCCTAAATTGTAAAAGGTGTTCGTAAGCTCCATGGCATAATTGGCTCAATTTAGTATGTGTGTGAGGTGGCCTTGAATACAGAGGTTAACATGTTAATGTGTGATTCTTCATGAAACGCCACTTGAGTGCCTGCGGCCGTATTCGGTTCATCATTCATCGGTTGACTGTACGTGACCTCTTGCAACCTCATCTTTTGAATGTTCTCCTCCGACTTACCTCCAATGGGCAAATAACCTTCTTTCAATAAAGACGGTGAAATAATAGTGTAGATAATGTTTTTTTTGTTTCTTTTAAAGCAGTTCTTTTCCCTTTTGCTTTCTCTAGGTTGCTCTCTCATCGTGCTCGCTGAGCGTGAATGTGTGGCCTCGAGGTGTTTCTGAGGGACCATATGGCACAATACCGCACAATATAGGTGATGTTTGCCTTTCCTTGTTTCATTCAGTTTGTGTTTCTGTTTAACATCGGGACGTACCCCATAAAAATACCCCATAAAAATACCCCATAAAAAGTCCTTGACGTTTCTTATCTGAGCACATACAAAGCAACCTCTGGCCTAGGCAGAAAATATATATTCACTGTTACAGAGGCCTTTCAACATGATAAGTGACCGAAAACCTCAGGGCCGGTGGTGATAAACTCCAGCATTTAACACCTGATTTGTGGATCTGCTTGGTGAGTTATTCTCAGGCTCCACTTTATCTTTTACCCAGGAGTGATACTAAGTATCTGAGAAAAGAAACGTTGCGTAGTGTTGGCATGAATAAATGGTTCTTCAAGAAAAGAAAAAAAAAATGCCAGAAGACATAAATGAATCAGTCAGGTCCATGCCTGTCTCTTCAGCATGCACTGTGTAGCATACAAACAAATCAAACAAGCTATTAGCACCTCCCACTCACATTATGAGCCTGCATATTGAACTTTACGCAGTGTATTTATTTTGTCGTCGTGCTCGCATAACGCCTCCGTGCTCCCAGCATAGTCTCTTTGCTGGTGAAAGAAATATAAAGTAAATGCACTTAGTGCGCTGCATTCCTGACCAGCTATCATGATGGTGAAATGTAATATTCCATGTTCAAATATCTATGCATATGCTAGATTAACTGTATTGCTCTCTGTTTTAGTGGTGACTTTTAGTGTGCTGTGTTGGAGTAGGGGTCACACACATGACTATAAAGCTACTAGGCCTACAAGTAACTTTCATTTTGTGTTGATTTTGGTGGTCCCAGATTCCCTTTTACCTCTCATTTTACTGCAGCAGGGTCTGACAGTTTGCCCTGCTCAGTCCTGGTTATGTTTTATCCTACAATTTTACACACAAAGGCATCGTCATCGGTAGTACTCACACTTGCCTAATGTCCCCTGTGGTTTTGAAGCCAGCTATGAAAAATCTGAACCATAACACCGAGCTTGGGCATGGAAACTACACATTTTGGACAAAATGGCTGCAAACTTCATGTATGGCGTTTGACTCCATGGGCATTTACCAGGCAGGCAGGGCAAAGGTCAAATCATGGCATTGGATCCATTTTGCAATGATGCACCATCTCTGAATTAATTTCCGAGGCTTCAAGTGAAAACTAGGTGGTAATTTACAGTTGCAAATAACATGTTGTAAAGTAAAATAACCTAAATAGTTCTCAGTAGCTTGTAGTAGGTGAGGTGCTCAAATGTGTTTGTTGACCTGTTAGGAGGCGTTCAAACTCTGTCATTAATAGTTTTAAGCCTTAATAATAATTAGGATAGTTCAATATTTAGTTTGACATTTTTACACTTTTGGTTTCTCGCAGGGAGTTAGCTGAGAAGGTCGATACCACTCTCATGTCTGTAAGCTGAATAGGAAAGTGGAGTCAGCAGCTGGTTAGCTTAGCTTAGCATTAAGACGACACAGGGGAACAGTTAGACCGTTACCAAATCTACCCAACAGCACTTCTAAAGCTATAGTGGTGAACAAACGTAATTCTTTGTAAGCCGAACAAAACCAAGTCGTAACGCTCCAGAGTCAAGCTAGCTGTTTTCCCTTAACAACGGCAACAACAAAACTTCTGTAAATAACATGAGAACCGTAGCGGACTTTCATACTTAAAATGATGTAACAAGCGTAACAACATTACGTGACAATCGTAAAGTCTACGTTTACTTTGGGTTTCATGCAGATCCCGTACAGTGGTCTCCTGGGTAAAAGTATTGTGTTTGTTTGACCCATCTAACACCAGTCCTGCCCACCCTCAGTCGACTCTATTGTAACACTCTTCGTCATTCGGCGTAACTTTCAGTAACGGTCGCTTGATGGACTATGTCACCTGCTCTTATTGCAGCATAAACGTTAGCATAACGTTAGCATAAATTCGTCGTATCCTCGGTTTGCAAAAACACACAGCGCCAACATTTTGTCTCCGGGACTGGGGCTGTTAACACACACGCATATCCTCAGCCGAGGAGGCTGCAGGTGCAGCGGCTTGCGAAGACGGTGACGGGGTTTGACACTACGATCACAGCAGTTTAACTGCCTCAGCATAAAGCTATAGCTGCCATTGATGTTGTCATTACTCTAAAGGCGAGCAGTATTCCGCAGCCTCGGTGAAAGCCGACCCACATTCTTGACGCACACTTTTGATCACTTTGTTGAATCCGTATGATGCAGGAGATTTCAAAGAGTGCTTTCAGGCTTTTGAAGCTTTCTGCTTTCCTGCTCAAGAGGTTAGTGAAGGTAATTCAAATGTGAAAAACTTATGAGGAAGGTATGAGTACATGCAGAATAAATGTGCTTCTTGCTCGATTTTAGCAGTGGAAACAAGAGATTTGTACCTTTTATTTCTTTTTGTGCACTGCTTTCACCTGCTTGGCATTTTTAAACTCTTTACAAGAGCGAACAATACTTAAACTCAGTTTCGTTGGATTTATTTTGATCCAAAGTACGTCTAGCTGAGAGCGTACAGTACTCGAACAGAATGAAGCGCTGCCTGGCTGTTGTTGCTATTCAGCTACACAGAAAAAAAAATTGAAGGATATAAGAGAGGTGATGAAGAGCAGAATCACATTTGTGTTAAAAAAACCAATTCTGTTTTCTTGAACCTGAGATCTATAATGTGGTCACCGTGCGCGAACACAAAATAAAGTGCAGCAGTTTAAAATAGAATGACTCTGCTAAGCGATTCATAAAAGCATCTTTTACGACGCGTCATTTTAGGTGCGTCACATATTTTCCATTAACGTCTTAACTCCGGTAACAGGCTGAACCCTTAGGCCGGGAGTATGAAACACAATTAGATGAAGATATATTTTTAGACCACAATGAGTGAGAGCTTGACAAATCTATTCTGACCCACACCAAGGAGATCCGACGGACTGAGACTCGATAAAGAAGTCGCTTTCCTCTGAGGAATATCTCGGGAAATCCATCATGCCTTGTTTCAATTAGTTCCCCCCCTCCATCCCAGGATTCTGCGAGTCTGATATCTTAATGAAAACACTTTGCACATGCACCGTAGATTTTAACTTTTAAATGACTGATTGGTGTGACAGGGCTCTGTGTTCTAGTCTGATAACACCCGCAGTTTTCCTTCCACTTTATTGCATTTTGAAAAAATGTAATATCTCCTTTCCACTGCGGGGTTCGGCTTGACTCGACTCACTTTTTGGTGCCATCGGAAACTTCGGTGATGCCATCACGCAATACGCTCTGAATCCTTGAATTGGCAACCAAACCAGGCAGTTCTTATCCAGCATACATAGCTATAAAGAATAGTGAGCTGTAATTCATGATTTGCAATTAACGCGAGGGAGGCGAGTGTGCTGTGCGTATTCTATTGCACAGCGTGGGAGTGGCGTGGCACTGTAGTCCGAGATGCTGCACAGGAGTACCGGGTGGATGGATACTGTTGTTTGTGAAGAAATAGTTCCAACAGCCCTATGAAATCATAAATAATCGTGGGCCTGCAGTTACAGTTAAGTTATGGTCTACTCCTCGCAAAAGACATCACAGTAAGCAGTTTTAAGGGGTTTTCTTGGGGATGATCCTAGTTAGGATGGCATTGCTAGATAAAGCCAACAGAGATCAACAGTTTTCATGCAAAGCTTCTGTAACACGCCCTCACTGTTTGTGTTCCACAGCCCGGTTGCCACTTGCACAGGCAGAAAGCACGAGGCAGGTGTGTCGAAAGGAGGGAGGGCTGGTGGTGTGTGTGTGGGGGGGCGGGGGGCCTGATCAGGAAATGGTGTAGGGAAATCTAATTTATTTTTCATACGCCGCGGAGATAGAATGCCATATATCACGCCATGTAGCAATTTGGTGCCAGTCTCAGGCTCACAAAAGATGAAAGAATAGCGATCAAAGATACAAGGGAGGGAAGTCAGCTGCTGGAGTTGCTGTGGGATCCGCTCCCACTGAGAACAATATAAACTGTGTTGAAATAGTCATCCAGTATCCTGTCAATGTTGGTTTTCAGTGTGGGACAACTCACTTCAAACATCTTACACAGGAGGGAACAGGAATGAAATGTAGCCTTTTTTTCTCTTTTTTTTGTCGACTGTATACACACTTGTAAGAGATGTTAAAGAAACATATGTGGAACTGAATGGATACACTTTGAACTATGGAACCCCAGAATATGCAGCATAAAATAAATTAAAAAAAGACATTAGGAAATACATAATCATATGAATACATTGTGTGAATTATATAAACTCCATTGATGTTGATAGTTTAGTTTCATATTTGCTGATAACCAAACACGCTCCCTTTCATTCCCAACACGTGTCAGGCACACACATTGTCTATCACAAACCGAAACCACCTCTTAGATATGATTTGTTGTTGCTGCTGTTTTTTAATCACAGTCATTAAACCGTAAATGCTTCTGAGATCCAGCAGAAGCTTTCAAAGTCATAAAGATGAAGGCAAGGGAATGCTAATAGACACATCATGGTGTTCTATGTCTCCCTGGCATACTTTAAGATTCTACCACAAGTCTTTTTAATATGTTTTTCGACATTCAGCTCCGTTCTCATATCCATTACAGTGCTACCCTTCCTGATTGTATACTATTGTCTGATGGGCGATACAGACTACTGCTTTACCGGACAGAAAGACGAGAAAAGCATCCATCATGCACCAGTATACGCTCAGAGCTTTCCCTTTCAATCTCAATTTCTTCATTCGCAGTCATAGATTGGCTGCACCAACATGGCGTCTTTCCAACCGCTTCCTTGTTTCTTATTTAAGGTTTGAGAATCGCCGCCGTCTTGTTACACACCAGAGAGCAACCAATTACAGTGTCTATATCAGGCGTTGAAGCTCTTTCCTCTTCACTGGCTTCATGAAAAAAAAAAAAAAAAGGTTCTGATTTGCACCATGTTCCGCTTCATGATTCCTAGAGGAGATATCGAGCTACATATGGAGGCGCACAGCACAGT